TATAAAGTAACTTTTACTACTTTAATAGTAAAAAATTCCCGGTAAAGAATTTCTGGTAATTTTTATTACTTTTGGAGTAAATTTTGCTACGTTCGATGTACATATTTGTAAAAATTAGTAAAATTTACTTTGAACACAGCAAAATTTACTTCAAAAGTAGTAAAAATTACCAGAAATGTTTTACCGGAAATTTTTTACTATAAAAGCAGTAAAAGTTTCTTTACATTTTTCTCCGTGTAGGATTTTGGTAAATAATTAATTTTTTTTTTAAAATTTCATGGTTATTTAAATTATAACAAAACATGAAGAAAGCGATCACTCCGAGTCGAATAATATTTCGTAATAATATTCTTATAAATTGTTGAATTTCATAAAGGTTTAAATTTGAATGTATTGAAGAATTTTAATTCCTACGGAAAAATAATAATGATTAAATATTAATTATTGATGTTTTTGAATAATTTTACAATTAATGAAATTTGTAAATAAATGTAATAGAACATTTTTTCGAGTATCTAATAATTTTTAGAGTGAATCAGAATATTTTTTAGGGTCGCAGGAAAATAGTGAGAATTTTGTCTGGAAATCAGGGAAAAGTCAGGGAAAAATAAATTTAAATATTTGTGGCATTCCTGATGAGCGAACCTGTATAATAATCCTATCGCATTAACTGACATTCAATAAAAAACTTAAATGCCCTGTAATTTCTGTCAACGAGAGCGTGAGAAAGGTGAAAGTATGTATGCGGAGAATTGGAATATCTCGACCGGAAGTGAAAAAGTTCGTTAAGAGTGCTGCAGCTGCATTGGAATCGCGAAAGGACGCTCAATTCGCGTTTGTTGATCCATTGCGCAAAAAAAAAACATGATTGCCGTTATATATGTACTTCGTGTACGGCTCTGATTAAAGCAATACGCGTGGCACTTTGCGCGCAGTGATTGGGTGGGACGCGAAAAGCCGCTCTACTCGGGCACCTGTGCATCCTTAAACTGCACACGATATATAATAAACTGACCGGGAGGCATAACCGGTAATAAATGTTTCGTGACTCGTAAAAATGTTATTACCTCTTGGGCGGCTTGATACCAAATAGATAGTTTATGAAAATCCCACACGGAGATAATATACATATGAACAAAAACGCATCAGCCAAAGCGATGTCTCCGTGCGATCCTGTTAGGATTCATTAGACGATTTATCGATTAAAATAAAAGTCAGTATATGGTTATAAATTTGCAAAATTATATCTCTCTTAGTTATCGGTCCATATTTCTAATGATATAACTTTATACTTCCTGCTTCGAATTGAATATATCCAAGTGTGAAATATGGATCAGCTGTTATTTTACCGCCATATTTAATCACGTGACCTAGCAATTGATTAACTGTTTTTAAATTATTTTCTCCCTTTAAATTACTTTCGTTTTAATTACAATTTTTTTCAAAATATTTCTCTTACGATATAAAGATAAAGAATTAATTAATTCACTCGAAATCCGCTCATCCCTTCAAAACTCATATTCCCCTTAGTGCGATTTTTCTTAAATGTGTCATCATTTCGACTAAGTAACTATGGCAGTAGGATAATAATAAAAACTCACCTACTGCGAATTTTTGTCCAAATTTTTCACTAAACTTAAAAAAGATACAAGACAAAATTTTTACTGTTTTTCTTTAGCGTATAAAGTATATGAAGACACATGGCTATGGGGAATGCTTCATTTGTCTTTATATTATTATGACTTATAATGTCTACGTATAGTATTAAGTCTTTTCATTTCTGCATTTTCAATTCAAAAATTGACGGAATCTTTTGAATTGAATTTTGCAAAGAATTTTATTAAAATGCCTCAAAATAATTAAATTTTCGGTCATAATATTGTTATTTATCTTTAATAATTAAATTCTTTCGAAGAATTATTTATGTAAATAATTGAATTCTTAGGACGAATTTTATTAAAATCTAAAAGAATAATTGAATTATTTCAAAAAAATTTAATTAAAATTGTATTTAAAATAATTGACTTTTTACGAACAATTTTATTCAAATATTTGAAAATAATTGAATTACTCTGAAAAATATTCTAATATTTTTTGTAAATAATTGAATTCTGCCAAAGAATTTAAAAAAAAAAATTTAAAAAGACATTTTTGTAAATAATTGATTCTTAAAATCTAAATTTACTTCTATATTTAAAAATTAATTCAATTTTAAAAGAGTTGAGTTTACAATTTTCATAAATAGATGAATTTAAAAAGAATTTAATTTGAAGTTTTGTAGAATTTCAATTTTAAATGAATTTAATTAGAAATTTTAAAAAATCTAGATTTTAAAAAAAATTTTAATAAATAAAATTTTTCTGAAATTAGTTAAATTTTTTAATACATATTTAATTGATTATTAAAAATAATGAATTTACAGAAGAATTTTAGTTAAAAACACTAAAACAAATTGAATTTTGAAGCAATTACGAATGATTGCAGAATTTCAATTATTTTCAAAAGTAGTAAAATTCTTCACGAAAATTCAATTATTTTCTGAAATTGTAATAAAATTCTTTGCAAAATATTAATTATTTTCAAAAATTTTCCTCAATTTAATGATTTTTAATATCTAGTAACTAGTACTTTAATAAAAAAATTCCAAAAGAATTCAATTTGTTTAAAAAAAATTTAATAAAATTCTACGCAAACATTTCATTATTTTCATAAATAACAAAACTCATCGCAAACTTTCAATTATTTTTAATACAATTTTAATGCGGAATTCCTCGAAGAATATAATTATTCTTAAAAATTTTATTTAAATTCGTCTGGAAAATTTCATTTATTTTCAAAAATAATATAATTCTTCGTAGAAATTCAATTATGTTCAAGAATTGACAAAAATTCTCGTCAAAATTTCAATTATCTTCATCAATAATAAAATTTCTCTCCGAAATTCAATTATTTTCAAAAATTTTAATAAAATTCTTGGCAAAGTTTCAATTATTTTGTCATGAATCTAAATAAATCAAAATAAATAAATAAATTTTCAAAAAATTTCCTTAATTCAATAAATGATTTTCAATATTTACTATTTTAATACAATTTTCCAAAAAAAATTGAATGATTTAAAAAATTTTTTAATAAAATTTTAAGCAAACATTGAATTATTTGTATAAATTGTAAAAATTTCACAAAAATTAAATTATATTTAAAAATTTTTTATAACATTATTCGCAATAATTCAATTATTTTTATAAAAAATAAATTTTTTTACAGAGATTCAACTATTTTCAAAACTAATAAAATTCTTTGCAAAAATTCAATTTTGTTCAAAGATTTTTAAAAATGCAAGGTCAAAATTTCAATTATCTTTAAAAATAATAAATTTCTTCTACAAAATTCAATTATTTTTAGAAATTTTAATAAAATTCTTGGTAAAATTTCAATTATTTTCTAAAATTATCGTCAATTTAATGATTTTTAATATCTACTATATTTTAATAAAATTTTCCAAAAGAATTCAATTATTTAAAAAAAAAATTTGAATGAAATTCTACTCAAACATTTAATTATTTTCATAAATAATAAAATTTTTACAGGTATTCAATTATTTAGAAATTCTTTATAATTTTCTTTGCAAAAATTCTGTTATTTTCATAAATAATAAAATTAATTGCAGATTTTCAATTATTTTTATTTTAATACAATTTTCATCAAATTTCTTGAAAAATAAAATTATTCTTAAAAATTTAATTAAAATTTGTCAAGAAAATTTAATTACTTAAAAATTTTTTGATAAAATTCTTTATGAAAATTCAATTTTAAGAAACATTTAATATAACAAAATATTTATTTTTCTATTTAAAGAATTGAATTCTCGTAGAATATTCTAATAAATATTAATTGAAAAATGTATTTCAGTTAAAAATTTTAGATTATAATTAAATATTCAATGTTTAGATTTTTAGAAATAATTGAATTTTCAAAAAGTTTCAAATTTAAAATTTTTAAAAATTTGAATAACTTTTTATACTTTTAATGCAGAATTCTGTAGAATTAATTTTTTTAAAAAAGTTTACTGTAATGTTTTTTTAATTATTCTAAAAATTATTTTAAAAAAATTTATTTTAAGAAGAATTTGAGTTAAACATTCTATAGTAATGAATAATCGAAAAGATGCAAATAATTTTTGAAGAAGTTACAGTGACAAATTAACAAGTTTTAATTATTATATAAAACATGAAAGCGTATATGATCGGTATCTTCATGTCTTATAATAATATTCTTACATGCTATTGAATTTGAAATTTTTGAAAATTCTTAATTCCTGTGGTAAAATAATGATTAAATATTTATTTAAAAATAATTCTATTTCTTCATTTATGTTTTTCCTAATATTTCGAAAAATAAGTTAGCAGAAATGTGAATAAATTACATGACAAAATATGTCAAATATGATGCATATATTTTTTTGTAAAAATTTCAAAGGGCCGCGTTTTTATGAAACATTGTCTATAGTTTACAATTTTAAAAATGAAAAAGAGAACAAAAAGCAATGTCATTTCTATTGTAATTTGTTTGCTATGTCAGATTTTGTTCTATGGAAATGTATATGCAGACAAAAGTTTAGAGAGAACACACTTTTGTTCGACTCGGCGGCGGCAAAATTGGACGCCTCCCAGGGGGTTAATTTCGAGACGAAGGGTGGAAATATTCACGGTTCCTTAAAATCCGTAGATCTCCCTTTCCTTACAGGCTTCTTTCTCTCTAGGGTAGTGTTATGCCAAGCGGTCACTCGAAATATCAAACTATTACTCCACCGCTAGCCTCAGGTTATCATATTCAGTTTTCCCTTTATCGTTTAATACAAAAAGACGTAAATAATTTTTGTATCTTTTATTAATACAAATTCGCATATGAAAAAAAAAGTTTGAATTTATAACATTTTTATCTCATTAACAGCATTATTAATTACATTAACAGTAATTTAGAATAAAAAATTTTTTTTACAGTCCATCAGATGCACTTTCAAAGGGTGTTCCTGTGATTCGTTCGTACCAGGCAAGAGGCATTTGCGCTGCTGTGACAAGTGTCATCATGGATGGGTTCTACATGGTGAGTACGGTTCACTTTCTTTATTAAAAATAGTTAAGGGTTATTAAAAAAAAGGGTAAAGGGTTATTATTTAAAAAAGGGTAAAGGGTTAAGGGTTATTATTTTTTAAGGGTTATTAGTTACAATACCTAAAAATCCGAAAAATCTTCGGTGTGGAAAAAATTAATAGTTCGATGGGTACCTAAAAAAATCAGCATCAGTTCCAACTCTTCTGTGTTTGAATAAAGCCAGAAGTTTGCTTATATTTTTGTATAGGGCAGAAATTTTCCAAGTGTCAGCATACTTCATCCCGGAATACTTAGAGCTGTCCTGAGGGACAGGATTCAATTTTCCAACTATGACCAGTGCCATTCCCTATAGTCTTACCGCCATCCTTCGATACCATAGTATAAGCTATAAGACTACGGACTTTATGTGGTCATAAGTTTTAGAATGTATAGAGGCGATCAGTCGTTCCACTCGCGAAACTCCAATAGACACTCGTATACTGGGTGTTAAAAATATTTACTTTTACACATATACTTCTTCTAATGAAAATTGCCTAAAAGAAACAAACATTTATGACATAAACATATCGAAGAATTAGTGGCATACTTCAGAAGTTTTGAGCCAAGAATACTATTATTGCTGCCTAAATTATTCTTCTATAAAATATTATACACAATTATTACACATTAATAATTTTATGGTATTTTCGTATCAAAATATAAGCCCAAAGTTGTTTTTGCAAAATTTCAATTTTTTTAGGAGTTTAACCTTTGCGCTACTAAAGATTTTTGTACATAGGATACTGGATCGACCATTAGGGTTGGCCAAACGTTTTTTTATTTTTATGTTCCAAAAACAATTAAAATTCATCAAAGTTTTTCTATATAATTATGTGTTAATACAAATTCTGTATTTTAATAAAGTATTTATGCATATAGTGTTGGTTTAAACAAAGTATTATTGCAAAATCATTTAATTTTCAAATAAACAAAGAGATTAGAAAGTTTTTGACAACTTTTTTTTTAACTTTACTTGGTATTGAATTAATAAATTAAAGACAATATTTACTGAAACGAGTCATAAGTATTATTAAAAAATTATTTAAACAAATGATTGTTGTTATTTACCAACTTTTTACAGAATGCACCTAGAAAGTTGCAGTTTTTCCTATCATTGCAATTTACTAAAGACTAAACCTTATATGATTATAGATAAAGAGTAAAAATTGAATTATTATTTAAACAATTTTTAAACAAATTATTGTTGCTATTTACCAACTTTTTACAGAATACACATAGAAAGTTAAAGTTTTTTCCTAATTTTGCAATTTACAAAAAAACTCTATATGATTACAGGTAAAGAATAAAAATTGAATTATTATTTAAACAATTTTTAAACAAATTAATAATTTGTTTATAAATTGTAATTTATAATCATATAAGGTTTAGTAAATTGCAAAATTAGGAAAAAACTTCAACTTTCTAGGTACATTCTGTAAAAATTTGGTAAATAGCAACAATAATTTGTTTAAAAATTGTTTAAAAATAGTTTAATTTTTACTCTTCATCTGTAATCATATAGAGTTTAGTTAATTGCAAAATAAGGAAAAAACTGCAACTGTCTAGGTATATTCTGTAAAAAGTTGGTATATAATAACAATAATTTGTTTAAACAAATGAAAAATTCATTGTAACGTCAAAATATATTGTATTTATTGACATAAAACAATTTTACTGTAAAACTTTCAGGATTTTATTTTTTTGCAATATACAAAATAAACACCCGGGCAATGTTTTTTATTTGTTATAAACAATGTAACAAAGAAAAAATTTTTCTTTCAAACTATTTATTTTTTGTTTCCGAGTAATGTTTATTTTTTAGAAAATATATTTAATAAGAATACTTATTAAAATACTAAAAATTAATATCAATTTAAAATTTTTAATAACTTTTGTAGTAAAGAAACACACAATTAATAAAAAATTAATTGTTATAAACAATTAACAATGTTTTTAAGTTGTTTAACGAAACTATAACTTTAAGAATATTTTTCTAGATCTATTTTGTAAAAAGAATGAACACTTAATGTGACACATTAACAAAGTTATCCATTTGTTGATTTAGATTATTTAAACAATAAGATTAAGGGTTTTTAATTATTTTACTTAAAAATAGACGTTTTTAAAAGCTAACTAATTACAATGCTATTTAACAACACAAAAGCTTTAATTCATCATAAAAAATAATATATTTTCCATTTATTTATAATTGTTATTACTATTAGTTATTAATAATTAATTAGCTATTAATAGTTATTAAAAAATATGGTTTATATTAATTTTTAGTATTTTAATAAGTTTTTTTTATTAAATATATATTTTCCAAGAAAGAAACATTACTAGGAAACAAAAAATAAAAGTCAGAATAACAATTATTTTTTCTGAGATAAATTGTTTATAACATTTTTAATTAATTTATAACATTAATTAATTTTCTATCGCTGGAAAATATTTGGGGAAAGTTTCTTAACTAGTTACGTTTGTTTACTAATAAATATTGTGAATTTTACAAGAATTACCCCTTGTATAAAAATAATATTTTTTATAATTTTCAGTAACAAATAAAAAATTTCAGATATTATTTATTAAAAATCGTTCTAAAGAAATCGATTCGCAATTTAATAGGCTTTAATTTAAAAAATAGTTAATTTTATATTTTTATAGTTTATTTCATTATTTTTATTTCTATTTGTTTATAACAATTGATGCTATTTTAAAGAAATTATTATCAAAATCTAACAACTATTTTTTTGTCTGAAAGCATGATTATTGTTTATTACTCATACGAAATTTTATCAAAATCTATTAAATAAAATGGTAGACATTTTTTTTTTATAATAAGACGCTTAAAAATTGTTTAAACAATAATTCTCAAAGAAATTCAAATTTTGCAAAAACAACTTTGGGGTTATATTTTGATACTATAAAATAAATAAATTATAATATTATAAATACTATAAAATTATTGATATGACTATGGTTCTTTTTTTAGATTAAAGTCTTTTTTGAGTGCGTGCAAAAATTCAGAAAAATGGCTTTAATAATAAAAACTATTTAATCGAGTCACCCTGTACAGTCCTGACTTTCGGAGGCAGAAAATATTCCCTGTTCGGTATATAAGCATATACATCAAATACAGGATCGAGTAAAAGCGTCCATGAACGTATTGCGTTTAAAATTCCGCCTGCTTGACCCGCGATAGATTGGAGGCAGCGTGGAATACATATCAATTTCGTCCGGCATGTCCCTTGGGAGTAACTTTTCTGTTCTAGCTGCATTTTCCTCTCTTCTAACCTCCATTTTTTTTCCTTTCTTGCGTTTATTACAATAGCCACTAGCCAAACGAACTTTAAATATATATTGCCAATTATTTCGTTCAACGTCAAATTGTAAGCTATCATTCTAATTACGATCGATGTGCAAATTTTATACCTCTGTATATAATTTTTGTGTTTTATCATTGAAATACTAAGACGTGATGTAATTATATAAATAAGTAATTATAATTATATTCAAAGCATTTTAATTTAATTTCGAATTGTCATTTTTTTCAAAAAAGCGAGTTGTCATAGTTTTCCTCCCAACCAGCGAAATTAACATAAAACTTAAAAAATAAAATACTCCCTAAATTTGAATTTACAGTTTTTCTAAGGATATCGAATTGAGACAAAAAAACGAATCAAAAGCTCGCTTTTGATTCGTTTTGTTGTCTCAATTTGATATCCTTAAAAAAACTGTTAAACTGATGTGTTAGTAAAAATGTTTATTAATTTGAATGGCTGAATTTAAAGGCAAGCCTTTAAATCAGTGAATTTTACTAATGAATTATAGTATAGAAGTAACTATATATTTATTAATGTAAAATTGACTTAAGAAAGCCAAAAGTCAGACACTAAATTCAAATTAGTAAACTTTATTACTAATTCAAGAGAATTTCCTGGGTTTTTAATCTCCAGCAGAATTAGTCCCCATTGTTCCAGTTTTAATTTTCAAGAATAATGCATAAAATTTTCAATACATTAGTGAGCGATATACAAAGTCCGAGTCTATAAATAAAATCTAAAAATGTCGATTCTTTAAAAAAAGGGGAAAAGAAGTAGAAACCCTTCAAAAGCACTTTGGCATGAAACAATTTTTTAAAAATTATTCTTCATTGACTGACCCTGTAAATTTAATTGGAACTGGATATTTTTAACTGCAGTTTGGTTTGCATTAAAAGCACGTACAGTAATACCAGTTAGATTTTGTATTTTCTCTCTCAATTTTTGAATCAGTTAAAAATAACTGCCAAAGAAAAGATTCACATCTGGTGAGTACTGGCGGAGTACTGGTCGCCATGAACCACTACTGGCATTGCGGATTGAAATTCTATTATTAATTAATAATTATTATCAAACTTTTTGATAAAATTCTTTGCAACAATTCGATGATTTCCAATATATTAATTTTAAAATTGAAAATATTTAGAAAAAAAAAAATTAAAAAAGTTAAGAAACAAAAAAGCAATATAATCCAGAAGATAAAATTTCTAAAAATTGACAAAATCAGAAAAAGTTTGTGAGAATTCTCATGAACAATATACGTACATAAAGAACGTTCGATTTTTCAATTTTTTTGTATTCTTTTTAGCTTCTTTTAGATATATACGTAAATATTGATGTTTAGGTTTAGGATCTGATATTCGTGGTTTGCTGCACGCCTGGTTGATTTTCAAACTCGACAGAGCGCAACCACCAGTAGCCAGTGGCGCATTGTAGAATGCCGATTCGGTAGCGGAAGTAGCTCAAAACCATCGACACGCGCGCCTTCAAAATAGCGAGATTTTCCAACCCTAGAACGAATATTAAAGGAAATGCTATTTTCTTTCTCTTTCATGTGTCCATCATATCATATTTAAAATTTTATTTGGGGTATTTCAATTTTTTTTCCACTAACTATAAAAGAATGAAATAA